CTCTCCTTTACTATATGGTTCTCCTTGATTTTTCCTTTTTCTTTGCCAGAGAGGTTTAATGATTGGCCTAATTCCGGACCAATAACTGTGATAATTTTTTTGTTTTTCAAATTTTGTACAAACAATAATTGAAATTAGAGAATACACATGGTCCTACGTTTACATACAAGCCAAAAACAAATGCAAATATCACACTATTGTCTTCTGTATTTAAACCGACTCGTGTCTTTGAATCATTTGCATTCTTAACCGATTTAAAATGGTTGCTTTATGCCCCAGACCGCTTCAGCTGATTACAGACTCAAATTCTGCAGACAGCGGCCTGCCAATTAGAATGCACTCTGAATCCGCTGTAAGCTTATTAAATCACTATTATCCCTAATAACACAACGGACAAGCGCCCCTTCTCTCCACTGCATCCTGTCTGTAGTCTACATGGTGACAAGCCGGGCCTGTCAGATCATCGCAGTGGTGAATTCTCTCCCGTACCCAACAGACACAGACATATAATTGTGCTCAGGCATTTCGCAGATACGGGAGCCTCAAATCCCAGCACATGTCAGCGTTTTGAGGGATCATATAGATGCAAATGCGCCCATGTAATTGCACAAGCGGAGGATCTGCGCTCTCCAGGCTGGATGCTGTCATGTCAATGGCTGATTCCATCTGCTTTTCATTGCAGAAGCTTTTTTTCTTCCTTTTTCCAAGACCTGATTTCCATAGCAGCCAAAGCTTTACAATCCTCTCATCTTATCGGCCTGTTTGCCTCCTCCATTCGACGCCCCCTCCCTGCGCGCCGTGCCAGTGCGTCTTTTCTGGTCCAAGCCACAGACGTGGAAGTGACAGGAATAAAGTGGAAGTCACAGTCAAAACACCTCGGATGAGCGCGAGGAGCCGGTCTCCACAGCTCAAGTTTAGTGTGACAAATACCAACCCCCTAGCCCTGAATCTATTCCATACATTGCATCAGGAGGTATAGTTTTTCTTTGTACATAACACACATTTGTTCCATATTAAGCAATGTTAAGTTGATTTTAAACTATTCTGTATGAGATTAAATTCAACCATCTAGATTTTGTTTATTTAGTGTTTAATTACTAAGAAATGCCTTGGCTTACATTTGCCAAAAAGTTGGTGGTCACAAGGTGGAAGCCCCCTCACTGTCTCGCTGGCAGTTATTTAAAAAGGGGATCATTAGCATATGGGAAATCACATCGCAGTTTTGATTGCACAGATTTGTATATATATTTAGAAAAAAAATGAAAAAAAGATGGGGTCACCTTCATAAAAACAGTATTTTCATAGTGCAGCTTACACTCACAAATAATTTATTTCTGCTCTTCATCTCTGGTATAAACGGTAAACCTGTTTCACGTGTTGCAAATATGTGCATAAACATGACATAGGGGGGAAATAGTCAAAGTGGATTTTCCCAAATAGAAAACCAGGAATTTTACAGCTTCACATCAAACTTATCACAAATTTAGCGATAATTTAAGATACCTCAAATAGCTGAAATCTTCAAAGTAAAGGTTCTATAAGGGCACAGACGATGCACCAATATAAATTCGCTCACAGACTCTCCCCTTCAGCCCGGAAGACTTGCTGTTGAATTGAGCGGGTGGCGTGTGTGCTGTGCAGGCTGGAGATAAGGTCCCAGAAGTTTTCCAAGGGCAGGACGGGCGCACAGACATCAGAGAGGAGCCGAGTCTGATTCATTACATGTGTTGCATCTGCCTCCTATTAAAAAAGCCCAGAGCAGTGTGTCTGCTGCTGCCTCTCTCACACTCTTCCACCGCAAAAGCTACCTCCTGACTCCGCACACGGTCTGTTTACTCAGAGCCAGCACTTCTAAGCACTTCCAACTCAAGCCACTTCTGTGCTTGACTGAACTTATCTACTCTGAATGTACATGTTTCTTGTAGCATACCATGGTGGGACTTTTCAAATATCACTTTCTTATCTTGAAAGAAGCCGGGCGGAGAAAACGTTCTGAGACCCACGCGGTTTGGGCTGTATCAAGATCAAGTCTACACCCCAAGCGCTGGAGAATGGTCCCACTGCTTTTTGGCTCTAAAAATGTACAATGAGACTTTTTTTTCCTTTCAATTCATATTTCAGAATGTTAAATAATATATTAAGTAGGAAATGTATGGTGAAAAAGTATGAAGGGTAAGAAAAACGTCTTCTGCTTGTAACGCCCGTTTCTACCACCAGGGGGTTGAGTTGATTTTTATTTTTTTGCAAACACAGCCATTCAAGTGTGAAGAATGTCATTTCACCTGAGTAATCGCCAAAACTAATTTATGTATAGTACTTTTTGTTTTAGAGTGTGATGTCATAGTGGTATGATTATTAACTTTCACAAGAGACTTACTTACACATAAGGGGGCGGAGTTACATGTTTGCTCCCCACAGCATTCACACAGAGAAGCAGAAGGTGAATTCTTCAATATAGAACATATAATGATAACAATGATAATAATGCTACATTTTGTATTTGTATTTCAATTGCGCTCAAAGAATATCTTACCCTTTTAGTAGTACGTAGATGTAAGTCTCAGCGCATCCAGCAGCTTGTATTTGTTGAACCTTATCCAAAGTGAGTGAGTTTTACTAAAGTGACTGTTTGACGCCTCACATTTTTAATCACTTGCTCATTTCCTGTGGCTCATAATCTCATCGACAGTGTTTTAATTATGCTCCGGTGATGAAACACTTAGGTCTATGTGTTTCAGTAGACCTGTTCAACTGAGCTTTTTTACCAGAACGCCGACTTTATCTGATAATTATTACAGATTTCATTAGAGGAAATTAAACATTGCTGAACGTGTGAGAGTGACAGAGTTGTCAACTATGTCTGCGAACATTGCACTTATGAAAAAAATCTTTTTTTCTCCAGCAGCTAATCAATTCATTTTCAAGTGTCAAAAATAATGAATTGTGTCATTGCAGTTAGTCAGAGGTGAGGGGTTACTGTATAAGTATGCAATATACTATACCAAGGGAGAAAAACATCATTGCTGCACTCAGTTGTATTCTGAATAAAGGGGATCCTACTATATTACAGTTAGTAGAACATACCCAATACAAGCACCAACCAATGTCATATATTGTTAACTTTGTGCTTGTTTGAAAGTCTCCATGTTACCGTACCATCGATATCGTTATATATCACATAAATATTGAAAGATGCAACTATGAATCATGTTGTGCCATGAGGCGTTGTACCGCTTGATAAGGCAAGCAAGATTATTTGTATAACACAATGTATACAAGTCAGCATACTTCCATCTTAAAGCACACTAGCTCCTTTTTACATAATGAAATCTTGATATGTTACAGCTAGTTTAGGAGACTCCATAAAATTCAGATTCAGATTCATTTATTTGCCATTTGCAGTAAAACCACATAGGAAAAACTGTGCAAGACTACCCCAGTGTGCACCAGACGACACACACCAGAGCTCTTGCCACGCTCTTACAACGAAATATCATATATTGTGACTACAGCAGTCGATAGCTTGAAACATGTTTGAATTTAAGTCTCTGTCTGACTTTGCCATATATTTTTCATAGGACATCTATTGAAAGTTACAACCACAATGAGTGTATACAGTATAAGTTCATTGTACCTATACTAGTTGTTTATGGTTATGTTGTTTCAAAACATCATCAGGACATAACTATGAGGTATGAGCTATTTTATCCTTTCCAGATTTGACATATATATTCACGTTTGTTTTTCTAAATAGAATACGGGCAGAAACTATCATCAGTGCCTCGGAAAGGGCTCTGTACATGTTGATCTGCCCAATGAAGTCATCAGAGAAAAGTCTGATTTTGGCTCAAAGTTTGTATGAATTCGCACATTTCAGTAGCCATTCACTTCACCGGATTTGATGCTTGAAACTGTGTCCTGTCTGTCTTTCGTCTAATTGTGCCTGACCTTGAACACATACAGTAATAATGAAAACACTAACCAGAAACTTGCACTATAGGTTACGAAGGGCACAGGGATGGCTTCTGCTTCTGCATCAAGAGACTTAATGAACATGTGGGTGTGACATCACTTGTCAACCAGTCCATACAAGGGCATCTCAATGTGCTTTACAAAACAAGATGAAACATTCTAATTATACAGGTAAAATCATAAATCATTGCAATGGAATAATTGTCAAGCCAATAGCTGACATTGCTTGACCACATATTAAACATAAGTCAGCAAACTCTCCAAGATTAAAAACAATTTATTCCATTTTGCTGACCACCTTTAAGTGCAAATGTAGGATTTCCTGAGGCATATACCCCTGAACCCGATGTTGTTTCTCTGCTTTGAATATGCCCTCTTGTTTGAAAGCCAAAGTCAACTTTGAATTGCAAATACCCATGTCAAGTGTAAAAGAAAACAGCGCTAACCAGGATTTGAATTCTCCTTGTGCATGTGCTTTGCATGTTACACAACATGGAAACTGCAATCGAAAACACAACATGATTACTTTGTCATCAAGCAGGGTTGTCAGTCTTTAATAGTTTAGTCATTTAATCGGTTGATGGCGTTCAAATCAACCAAAATATTGCAAAACAGTCCAAACAAGGTATGGAAGAAACAACAGAATGTTTTTACTTTATTTGACTTTAAAGCCAAGCTATCAAGTTGAATTCACCTTTTTATTTTTGGCTTTATTTTTATTTTTTTGAGTTGAAATTTAGTCATTATGCAACATGGAAATTACAGGTTTTGAGAGCTTTTCTAACATCCCTTTGAGTTGTAAACATCGATCGGTAAGGAAAGTCTTTAGTCGATTTCTTTGATGGAGTTGCTATACTTTTGGGAACTATTTAAATTATAACAGAAGAACAGTCTTTTCTGTTTTGGGAAAGGGGGGACCACAAATTTCCCAAAACATAATTATTGCCGTAATGTACAGTAGGTGGTGCATCTACGGGCCAAACAAACAGGATGGAGTACCTTGGCTGCTCCTACAAGGCCTCCTCTTATCAGCGCAGGGCAGATCTGTGGGGCGTGGGCTGTGTGCCAGTGTGTGTCTGTGTGTTGTCAGAGGGCCCTCGGGACAGGTGCTGAGGGATGGCTCTGTGTTTGGGAGCAGGTGCACCTTCCCTCCCTTTCCCTGCGCTCCACTCTCGCCTTGTTCCCCTGATCCCCCCAGAGGCTGAGGAGAGAGTGATTGGAGAGGCGATGCCCACAGGGATTGCTGCTCTCCCCAGTTCATCTGTTCCAGACAGGGCCCGGCGGGACACACGGCTCTCCTGAGGGCCTCTTTGGCTGGGAATCAGAGAGGAGCGGTCTCTTCTCTCTCAGCCTGACTGCTTTGTTACTGTGGGGAGGTCTCAGCAACCACAGCCTTTCACAGTAGAGCCAAATAATATGCACGTCAAAATGCCTGCGCAGATATCAGGTTATATAGTGGTTTATTCTACGCTTTTAATCTGCCATCTCTCATCATGTGAAACTTTACTGGATAGGATTTTGCAACGCCATATTTGCGAGTGGCTTACAACTGTGAATTAGCTGAGAGCACTAGCAGAGAGAGTTATAGGGGCATTTAGAGCTTGTATAATATGTGTATCCTGTTTTATGTGGTCATTTATTATAGGACAAGTTCCATGAATAATTTATGATTAAATGGCGTAATGGATACACTGGGACTCGTCAAAATAAAAGCAAAAATCCATTTGCTTCCCCTGTAGTAAATCGGCAAGCTTGTCCTTGGGCTAATTTTCAACATGGGACTTGGTGGGGGAGTGAGTGGATGTCTTGATAGCTGTTTCGCAGGAGTGGGTGTCTGTACAACGAGGGGACGAGGGGAAGCAAAAGTGAAATGAGATATAAAGGGAACACCACTCGGGAACACCTTTTTTGTTGGTTCCCCTCCCCCTGTACGTACACAGGTTTTATAAGACTCTATCTGTTGCTTCCCTTCCTTCGATCACAGCTCTATCTCACACAATCTTGGAGCGTTATCGTCGGCCTTCGAGCAGCTGCCGCGTCTGAGCATCAAAAAAAATGAAGGCAGATGAATCAATTTGCCCTGTGGCCCTAAAGTGCACTTGTCTGTGCTCTAGCCTTGAGGGGAGCGGGATAATGAGCCGATACATTGAGCCAATGGCACTGAGCTCCGAGGTGCTGATAAAGGCTCGCACCTCACAGACCCCCCTGATGCCCCCCATGTGAGAGAGCAGTCTGTCGCTGGGTTAATAGGGGTGAGGGTCCTCTGCACAGAACACTTTTCTGAACAAATTAGAGGAAGGATCTGTATTGGTCCTTTGCAGCCCTCTCTTATGGATTGGTCTGGCCGTGCACAGAACACCCAGGGTGCTCATTGGAGCCTGTAGTTCAGGGGGTCACATTCCAAAGGGGTAATACAGACTGACGGGGGGACGAGACTGAGGAACAGCTTCCCTGAGTGCAGCTGACAGGTGATGGCAGGCTTTAGCACAACAAGAGAGAAACCCAGGTCACGGCACACGATGGGGAAAGTGCTTCGAGACGGTGTAACTCTGAGGCAGCACGGCAAAGACAAGTCTAGATCAAAGAAGAAGGAAAACAAAGTCTCACCTGCCCACCTTCAGACAGGTCCCCGATGACAGCGCGGAGATAGACTTACACTGCAGGCCAGCTCTCTGACCGGCCTTGTGCACTTCACTCCGGGTTAGAAGAGTATAAATGAGCAGACCCATATCGGCAACACAAGTTAGGGGGAAATTAAGATGCTGGAGGGCCCTTTGAAGATAATTAAAGAGCACAGAGTGGCAGCCTCCAGAGACAGACTGGAGACATATTCAATACCGAGACTAATGGGGCTAATTTTCAGTACATTATTCATGTAAAACACAGGCACTTACTTAGCCGTGTTTTTTTGTACGTCTCATTTATAGACAACCTTTCTTGCAGGGATTATCTGCTTGCAATGGCAGCTATATTAATAAAACATATAACGGATATGCACAAATGTCAGTTAGACACTGGACTGCAATATTAGTTTACATTTACAGTACACTGACCTTGTAGTGTTCCACAACAGCATCCACAATACTTTGCCTTGTCTTTGCCTGTCTTTTAGCGTTAATAAATGGAGAAAGGCAAAAAACAACACTTGAAAGCTGTAGGGTTGGGAGCTTAGGGCCAATTAAAAAACCTCCCTAGACAGGAAATTAGTCCCAGCCTTAATCACAGACAGTCAGGGTTGCCAATCCGTCAGAGTCTGCAAATTCCTACCCAGATCAATTGCTCTCGTGTCCTGGTGAACGGTGGTGGCGGGAACGGCTGTGTGCTGCATCATTAACCTAGGTGGCTAATTAGAAGCTGTGCTCTGATCAATAGCAGAGTTGATTGCTGACTGGGTAATGTAGCCTGCGTCCCCATAGGAGAGAGAAACACTTAGGGTGCCTGCAGGAATGTGTCAGTATGCAGATGCTGGGTAAACAAAGTAATCAACAGCTGCACTTGAAGGCGATGTGATTTGCTGTGGCCCCGTCTCCCCACTGCTGTTTGTACAGTTCCAGAGCAGCAGAGGTAAAAAAGGCCATCATCTATTCTGAGATGTAAGGAGTGATTAGACTGGCAGTTTCTAGAGCGAGACTGAGAAATGCATTGGCAGAAGAGGGGAGAGTCGGCCCACCTGCCAGGGCTGTTCTCCCCCACCATGATTGCCTGGCTCCATGTCCTCCTTTTCCAATGCCAACCTTCGCACCACTCATGTCACTGCTGACCCCACCTCGCTGCTAATACCCCTTGGCCAATCAGTGCACTTGCCCCAGCGGTGGCAGGGTAATTAAAAGGGAATTGTGTCTGGTTGGCATGTGAGGTGGTCGGCACAAGGGTAGACAAACAGTCCCTGCCACCTTGCCTTCCTCCTGCTCTCCCAGCCAGGTGCTAGCGTACAGGACCTGTCAGATTAGCTGATGACCCTTTTAATTCTAGCTCAGCCGGGGGCCATAATTGATATTTACCAGGAAAGGTTAATTGCAGCAGTGATCTGCTTAAATTACAGTGGAGATCAAGAGACCAGGCCCAGCCACTGTGCGAGCCACCAGGGGAGCTACTACACTGCTGCATGCAACTCAGATGAATTATAGCCCACAGCTACAGCCCTCAGAGGTGTAAGCACAGGCCGAGAGAGCGACCGATGCTGCACCAACAAACTGTCTATTTACATAGCAAAGAGACCACCGGTAACCAAGCCCATGCCAGGTCTGGCCTGGCCCGTTTTTTTCTTACTTTCTTACTTTTCTGTAGAGTTTGCATTGCAATTCAAGTTGTGTTGTTTATGGCTTGTGCCTTTATGTACTCAGGTTCAGGAATTTATCCAGCTATACATTTGCCTTTAAAGGGTCAGATGATATTGTTTTTCCTCTTAGAATAACATCCGCATTACTTCTGTTTTTGTACTTGTACACAAAGGTATTGAGGTTGTAGGTGTTTTTTCTGCAGCACCTCTGCTTTGCATGTAGCCAAAACATAAATAAACATGCTTCTACATGTAAAAGAAATGTTTGAATATACTCAAACTATCAGAATAGATGGAATTATCAAGATATTCAAGATCAATGTGTAAATTATCAGGTTTATATACAGTAAATAAATATAAATATATTTTGTTGCTATACTAATGTGTTTTTTGTCCCTCTGCAGATAAAACCATTGGCATTGCGACCAGTCAAACTGGCTGAGGAAGAAAAGTTTCAGGAGCTGCTGCTGTGCAGGAGCCCATCGAAAGAGCAGCTGAATGAGGTGAGACTGGACTTTACCACTTCTTTACTGGCTGGACTTTTCTTGTGTCTTCACAAACTGGACAAGACCTGTGCCTCCTCTACAAAGATTAGACTGTCTGTTCTAAAGTGTCGGAGCAGCAAAGCCACAGAAGCCTGTGGACTGGCAGATCAGAGGGCAGCTGCTGCAGTAGCTCCTGCTGGTCCCTGTATCACCTCATAAATCCCCTCTGACTGCTTGGCAGGCAGCACACTGACAGGAAATGATTAAGCCTCTGGAGGAGCCTCACCTGGTTGACCTGGCATTATTTAAAGCATGGCATGGTAATGTAGACATGACCTAACGCAGGGCAGCCAGGTGTGGGGCGACCTTATCAACCTCAGGAAGGAACCAGTTAAAGACACAGTCACAATTATCAGTGCACTGGCATCCATATGCCAGTCCATTTAGACCATGAGTAGGTGGCAAAGCAAAATGAAGACAAGACATTGGTTCAGCATAACGGATGAAATAATGCAATTTAGATACAGGGAAAGTAATGAGAATGTATGCATAATCCCAAGCGCCTCATTTTAAATGAATGTAGAAATATGCTTCCTAACTAATGCCTGTCAAGCTCTGCTCCCAAACCTAACTAAATTCAATCAGGCTGTTCATTTAGCCCACGAAAGCAGGCAGAGGGAATAGAGAGGAAGCGAAATGTTCAGGACTCTTCCTCTACCAAGTGCAAAGTAATGGAAAGAAAAGGATTTTAATGAACATATTAAATACATTGTTTTAAGCCATTCAGGTTTCTGAAGGAAAATCCAGCCTTATGAATACCTTAACTAAATCACCCGTTCTAATGTATCCATATTTCTCCTTTTTCACGTGTATTGAAACAGCATCTCTTGGTCTCTCCTCTTTCTCATGTATTTTCCTCATTTTTGTGGAAAGGCAGTCTTTTAATGAAAAGTCAGAATGAAGACAAGGGTTTGTCAGATGAAAGTGATGCACTCGTTGACAGCTCTGACAGGGCTTTAGACAGACTGAGTAAAAGAGGGGTATGGTGCTGGGGTACTGGGGGAGTCGAGAATCGCCCACAGAATTCTCCTTTGGTGTTAGATGTGGCTCGTCTCTCTAATCCATTGCCAAATAAATGTTGCACAGACAGACGCTGATTGTTGCAGTCGTGCCATTCGCATCATCCGGCCTGTCTGCCATTTTCTGGCTGCTTTACAATACAACACAAACTTGATAGACACCTTCCTGCATATAACTCTTATTTCATTGGTCCATAAAATGTACTCATGCAACTAATTTTTGTAAAACGCGCTCCATCACATCAAAGTGGCTCCATAGCTTTCAGAGCTCTTAACTAATGATGCCGCATCGCCAGCAAGTGAAATGGATATCTCTTGTCTTTGCGCCAAAGGAAATAGAAACAAATGTGATGTGCAGACGCGCCCACCGCCTGTAAAAACAGTCATGCATCAATTTGGAAGTACAGGGTAAAAAATTACAGAGGGATGCTATGCTTGGGTCTTTATCTGTTTATTTTGACTAGGTAATTGTGCCTAGTGCAGCAGGGCCAAGCACTAAGCTGCACAGGGATTAGGCAAATGTGAGGAGGTGGCCATGGTGGTGTGTGGGGGGGTGCTTTCACTGCATCTGTGCCCTCTCCAAATGTACGATAAATGTGCTCCAAGGGTCTCCAGCCAACACATGAGCCATCTGGGACATGCTTGTGTCACTGATATGCATATGATGATTAGTTGACTTAGCTTTTAGTTATTATCCTTTGTTTGTGCAAAATGAAATGATTCTGTTTATCAGAATTATGATAATGTTGGAGATGTAGGGGTAACTAATTGCATTTGCTCATACAAAATGCAAAAGCTGTCATTTGAGGCCAGCTATGGCGTGTCTTTTCATTAGACACAGAACTCTAGGCTGTAGATGTCGACAATCACGTTCTTTTCATCTCCCCTCTCAATGCTGCACCTTGTTCGCTTCCCTCAAAAGCTCTGATTGGCTCACCTTTCAACCTCACTCAACAACAAAAACTAATAGTCTGGGTTGAGAGATGATGGACCAGACCTGCCTCACTTGTCATCATGTTTTTCTTTTTTCTGTTTTGTAGGAGAGTGGAGGAGGGGGCATGGAAATGGGGAGAGGATTAGGGGGCGGATTTAGCAACATTTCTCTTCTCTTGGCCTGTTTAGTTAACCCTTAAATGCCGCTAGCATCCGCCCGTTTCTTTTGCCACGAACCACTATAACCAGCAGAGCGCTCCCTCCCCCTCTCTGCTCTCTGGGGCGGGTTCTTAAATCCTTTTGAAGTCCTAAGCGCTGCAGAAATCCATTGAGAGCCATGTATAATGGCTTTTAAGAGCGAGTGTTTAGCTGTATGCCGACCCTATGGCTTATGAACCGCTGGCGTTTTAATGGATCCCCCATTCCCTCCCCGCTTTTCCTTCCGTCACCGGCACTAAATCCAATGGATTGTCCCTCATTATCATTTAAATAAGCCCCTCTTTCTACTCTGAATGCTCCAAGTTGAATGAACTCTACATAGTAAAGCTAATTCCAAATGGCCTTGGCCTCCCACCATCTCAGCTCCCACATATACAAACATTTAAGAGCAGTCACAATATGCACCCAGTCAACACATTATTGCCAGTGCAAAACACTTTATGGCCTTTTGAAACCCCGGATTTTGTCCTCTGTGAAGTTCTCTTCCGCACTCATTTTGGCTTCTCTCTGGTCACAGTGGTGCCGGGACTAAAGCAGTTGAGCAAAGCACGAATAGCCTTTTGATTCCCGCAGTGCCTGCTTTCCGGTTCACGGCAGGGCTCCTCCCTAATCGTCACCACAGGAGCCGTCAGCGAATCAGGCGGGCACACAGGCGTTGATGAGGCTGAGGCCTTGAGCAGGTGTGGAAGAATGGATGAGAGGCTATGGGAGGGTGCAAAACAAGGGAGGCAGTGGCTCAGAAGGTGTGGGGGAGGTTGTCTGGATTGAAGGTGGACCTATGGATGAAATTGGTCTAGCAGAAAAGTCCCCTCCAGAGACATGGGGGAAGAAATTGCCAATCTAGACGGCGGAATAAAAGCAGTGAAAAGTGGAAGTGGAGGGAGGGATTGGGAGATTGGAATTTGTGCTGGTGGCTGACGGACAGCACTAGAACAAACCCAGCATTCCATTCTTCTTCTCTGCTATTATTTGTCATTAACATAGCTCTGTCAGACAATCATAGATCTAAGCATTGATGACCCATACCTGTATGTGAAAACCAGATCATGTCAGATCTTTGAGGCTAAGCAGGGCAGGGCCTGGTTAGTCATGTGATGGGAGACCTCTGGGAACACCAGGTACCACAATGGGGCCAAACTGCTGTTGTTTCCTTAGGCAAGACACCCACATAACCTAGTATGAGTCTGGTGTATGCATTGGTGGTAGTAAGACAGGACAATTGCACAGATTAGTAGCCTTGCAGTTAGTCTGTCCCAGGGCATTTGACTTTATTTACTTACTCCTTACTTTAAAACCCAGTGGGGGCGGGTCCCGGCTCAAAAGTGGACAAAATGAAGTGCGCTGACATGCTGCAATACCACCCCGGCCGATGGGGATGGTGTTAGCCAATGCTAACATATAGCATCTTCTTACCTCTCGAAAACACCTTTACAGGATGGTCCAAAAGTTGGCTCTTGGCCCAAAGCTCTGTTCCACATGTGTGTCAATGCTGAGGGGGGTGAATTTTTTTACCACTCTAGTTTACTCGCTGTGAATTTTTGAAGTCACTCGTTTAAATGAATGGAGCTGCGCCGGCTGACGCATGCGCAGATACGTTATTTCACAATTTTCTTGTGGGCGGGACCACTCGCGGCCATTTTGGATAGCTCCAGTAGAGCACTATTTTTGGCCCATTAGTTAGAACAGCGGAGAAAGGCGTGACTACGTCCGTTAATTTTTACAGTCTATGTTTAAACCCCAAATATCTGTACTGTAAGTGAATAAATTATGGTTAGCCATGTTTCTTCTTTCATTTTCAAAGAAAACGCTGGAGTATCCTTCTACATTCCTTAAAACAATTGAACAGGGTTTCACGAGCGACGCTAAAAGTACTGTGCTTTCATATGAGTTGATTTTTATACATTATCTATACTTCTATTGACGTATTTAAGACTAGTACTTTTGTTACCTCTGGTTGTAAACATGTGTATGTGTGTGTATATAGATTTTAAACAAATTTTGCACGCATTTTTGTTTATTTTTGACTTCCTTACTTTTAGTACTTGTTTGCACAATATACCAAACAAATATCTAGTTTGTGACTTCCTGTTGCTTACAATGACACTGATATCATTCCCATAGTGATTCTGAAAAGTAAAAATGGCTACTTTCCTTCAACTTCATGTTTTTCAAGCATAATTTATTTTTTAGTTGCTGTTTTTGACCTCAACATACATTCCATATTCTCACTGAATATTTCAAGCTGCATCATGGAACAAACACGCATAAACCCACAGCGACTATAAGAAACACGATACAATTTATATCTGAACTAAAGTGAAAGCGTTTGTTTAAATGTCTTGGCCGCGTAGAATGTATGAGGGTGCAGTGCGTGGGCGAGGGTTACATGGCAGGGCGGGTAAAAGGTTAACGTGAATATTGATATTAAAGCGCTGCTGCTTCATCATGTCTGTGTCAGCCAGTGAAACGCTTCTTAAAGGTCACTCCTGCTCTCTCCTCTCTCCCCACAGAGCTCCACTCACTCCCTGTCAGGCCGGGGCTACTCGGTAAGTGACATTTTCATGCTTCATAGCTTTACGGCAGAATTACAATCTCCAACGACCCACTTTATGGCTGCGGCGCTCGACATTTTAATTATGTTAAATAGAGTAATGGAGAAATCATGATATTAAGGGCATTAATTCTGCCTGACTGACTGATTAAATTGTGGGAAGGTGTCCTGCTCTACCTTGGCGGAAAAGAAGCCAGTTTTATTGGCATCGATCAACAGCGTGAACCAGTTATGAGTCTTCCTTGAGTGACTCGGTGAAGATCGCTTTCACTTAAGCCTTACAAAGTATATTCATAATCCATACATAGAAATAATTTGAAGAAGTAATGTACGACTGAATTCCTTGAAGCTTTGACTATACGCTTTATGTGTTGATAGATATTCCAAATCATTATGAGTCCGAGCAATCTTTTATTTGTCTTGGAGGGATCTATCAACGTTTTTTTTATTAAGGTCATTCTCATTGGATCATTTAGAGCAGGGGTGTCAAGCCGGTACTCAAAGGGCCAGTGTGGTTGCAGGTTTTAGTTCCAACCAAGCAGTAGCACATCAGACTCCACCCATTTCCTCATATCTTCAAGTTTATGTATTTATTGATGCTTAAATATGGACATAATAATAACATTGGACGAACCAGATGCATTGCTGTAACAAACCATTACAACAGAATGCCACCCCCCCCCCCCCCCCCCCCCCCCCCCCGACCCAGGAATGGATTAAGGGGAAGAAAATGGATGGAAACAGCTCTGCTTGTGTACAAGTCTCTCCATGGCCTCGCACCAAAATATATTAGTGACATGTTAGTCCCATATGAACCAGCCCGGACTCTGAGGAGCACAGGGACTGGACTCCTGTTAGTGCCCAGAGTCAGAACTAAACATGGGGAGGCTGCTTTTCAGATTCATGCTGCTAAAATCTGGAACAGTCTTCCTGAAACTTTGAGACAGGCCTCCTCTCTGACAATGTTTAAAACCAGGTTAAAGACAGTTCTGTTTAACTGTGCATACAACTGAGGGATTTTATATTTTTATCTTTCTTTTTAATGTACTGTGATTATTTATGATTTTAATGCTTTCTTATTTTGTTGAGCACTTTCAATTGCCTTGTGTATGAATTGTGCATACATATAAACTTGCCTTGCCTTGGATGGATGGATTGATACACGTGAAAACCACTCTGTCTGGATCTTAAACCTGGACCTGGTTAAATCTGGAGTCAGTAATGTATTAGTACATCAAGAGAATTTTTGACTATTCCCACCCTTATTTTGACTGAATCAGGACTGTGGTATTATTATAAAGTCCTTTCTACTCGCCAACATTATACATGTGATTTTTTTTTTTTATTGACCCTACATTTATGACGTTAGTTGAAGTATACTGACAAGAGATTTGGAACTTTGTGATATGAATTTTACAAACACAACCTTTTCCCTATTGCAAGTAAAATGTGAACATGTTTAAAGTGAATTTGTATTTATGATTATAGAGCTCCGGACGTCACGTGACCCGTTTGTCTGTGACGCCATTTTGGCAGGAAGCCACAGGCGGTGAGCGCCGTTACTACAATAATAATGGACAGCAGCAAACAACTTTCCCAAAGCGATAAACAGCGATACATCGCTAAGCTTAATAGACTGCAAATTAGTGATCCATATTTAGCTCCCGGTGTGCTTTTTAAACCTTTAGATCAAGTGGCCGAGACCGTAGGACTCCCTAATATAGAATATCCTGACATATATAACTACCTTATAAACTTTCCTTCTGACTACACCGGAGACTCGCTGAAAGCGTACAAAAGCCTGGAGGGATATAAATGGACTCAATCTGGATTTGTGGCCGATGTTCTGCTGTGGATTTTAACTCAGAAGGATTATTTTGTTGTCACTGCACGAGTAAGTACCTGCCTTGATTATTATCTCATAAACTACTATGACAGCAACATTAGCACGCTAAGCTTGTAGTGACAGAATAGCGACAGTTTTACAGATGATTTTTGTTACAGGTAAATCATTCACAAAGATTAAATGACCCCTCTCTGAAACCATGGGCAGTGATCAGAAGAGATGGAGTAGTGCTTGGTGCTCATTGTAATTGCACAGCTGGACAGGGCGAGTGCTGCTCTCATGTTTCAGCTATGTTGTTCAAGTTATGGCAGCATAACCATGAAAGGGAGGAAGAGACAGCAACATCTAAAAAGTGTAAATGGGACAGACCAAGTGAAACGGCTATGAAGAAAGTGGAGTACCTGCAGGGAAAAGATATTGTATTTAATAATGGTCAAAGATCAAAAAAGCAGAACAAGGCTCAAACGCCCTGTGCAGCCCCCAAAGCCATCCCACCACTGACCCCAAGTGAGCAATCTTTGTTATACAACAGCCTGTCTCAGTGTTGTGCAAAAGATGGGCAAAAGATGAAACCAGTAGTCCTGTCTCTTGTGAGGGAGCATTCAGCGTCATATGTGCCTAAAACAGTGAGCTTGGATCTGCCAGATCCTCTCACAAGTCTTTATGAGAAAGAAATGAGAGATGTGAGTAGTGAGGAGCTGCAGAAAAGAACAGAAGCTTTGTTTGAGCAGCTGTCAGTGAGTAAAGAGCAGGTAAGGTGGTATTTGTTTTCTGTGTAAAGTTATATCAATCATGTTTTAAATCATATTATTTAGGTAGTAATTTTGTATTTTCAGAGTGATATTGTTGAGGAAGAGACACGAGACCAGTCAAAGTCACAAATATGGTTCGAACAGAAAGCTGGTAGAATTACAGCATCCACATTCAGAGCAGCAACTAAAACGAACATCATGAAGCCTTCAGTATCACTCATAAAAAAAATATGTTATCCACTGTCATACAGTTTTTCAAGTGAGGCAACAAGGTATATACTATTCTCTATATTTACATATGTGGTTAGGATATTAATGTTTGTTTTTGTAAAAATAAGTTGTCAGATATTATTATTAACATTTCCTTTTGTATAACAGATGGGGCTGTAAACACGAAGCTGCAGCGATACAACACTATAGAAACCAACATCGGCTCACACATTCTGACGTTGTGGTGGAAAAGGCTGGGTTTACCATCTCCACAACTCACCCATTTCTTGGAGCATCACCGGACGGTGTTGTGTCTTGCAGCTGCTGTGGTACTGGTGTACTGGAAGTTAAGTGCCCCTTTTGTGTTAAAGATTTAAGTGTTTGTGATGCTGTAAATAGTGTTTCAGGGTTCTGTCTTGAAACAGACATGAATGAAAACTTAAGACTGAAACGTGACCATACTTATTTTTACCAAGTTCAAATGCAAATGTTTGTAACCGAAAAATCATACTGTGACTTTATCCTTTGGACAGAAAAAGAGTCTTGTTCACCTTTTGTTGAGCGGATCTTGCCAGATGAAGTTTTTGCTAGAAAGGAGTTACTAAATGCTGAAGAATTTTACAAGAAATGTGTCCTTCCTGAGTTAGTGGCAAAGATTTTCTCTGCACCTAAAGTTGTGTGTGATAATAGTCAGCAGTGCTGCTATTGTCGTGAGGCTGAATCTGGCAACATGTTAGTCTGTGCCTCTGGATTCTGTTCTGTACAGAAGTTCCACCAAACCTGTCTGGGAATGAAAAGGGTGCCTAAGCACTGGCTGTGTCCCACCTGTAGAAAAATAAATTCTCAAAAGAAAAGTTAAGAAGACAAGTTTATTATTATTACATGGACATTTACTGAGCAGGTACTATTGATTCACATACATTGATGAGAGCACAACAAACTTTCACTAGTTTATCAAGATACATGACATCATTTTCTTTGTCAATGTCAGTAAATGTAATGGGTACTGTGCTTTGTAATAAAGTATATTTTTGACGAACAACTCCTATGACTCTTTCGATGTGTATCCTGAGTGACGCCAAGCTTCGGGTGTTTTCAATCTCAACAGGATCTAACTGCTTTTTCCCACGAGTAAATGCTGGAATCTTTAGGTCGGCTTGGAGAGATTGAACAGACTGACTAACATTAAAACCCCTATCTGCCAAAACTAGGTCTCCTGGAAGCAAGTGTGATAAAAAGTTACTATTTTCTGTGATAAACTTGTCACTTGTGCGCCCTCCCCACCCATTTGAAATGAAAGAAATTGATCCTTGTGGGCTAATGGCAATCAGATATTTCATAGTGTGATGTGATTTGTATGTTGAATAACACTGGGCACTAGCTAATAGGTTACTTGGCTTTTCAATAAAAATTTCAAAACAGTCAATAATACAAATAGTTTTTTCAAAATGTTTGTTACGGAACGCATTTGGAAGAGTTTTTCTTAAAATCTCTTTTTCTGGCCAGACAATAAGACTTGGAACTAATCTGCAATACATGACACTAATACAATGCTTGAAAAGTTTTGAAACTGTGGTGGAATCAACTCCAAAATAAAAAGCTAAAAATTCAAAGCTTAAATTCATCCGAAGCTTAATTAAAGTCAACAAAAACTGTTGAAATAATGTTAGGGCTGATTTAAGTTTGAGATGTGGGGAAACAACATTAAAAAGGGCCATGAGAATAGAAAATGTTGGTAGTCCAGTCAACAATAGAACTTTATCACTTTTTTGAAGAGCGGATTCAGAAAGTTCAGCTTTAGACAGTTTTTCCTTCAGCAACTGATTTTCTGCTCTTAAAGCTTGAACCTCCAACTTCAGTGAATTCTTTTGTGCTTTACAGTTGTCATTATTGCATGTAGGTCCAATGTCACAATCATTTAAAGAAATGACTGGTTCATTGTAGTCTCTGATAGAGGAAGGTCCGGCAGGAGGCTCACAGTCATGTGCTGGCCCTGTAGTGTCAGAGGATTCACCAGGAGGAATGAAAGGTCCCATGGGTGCTTCAGGTGTTTCTTGCTGTTGTTTTCTTTTTTTAGCGGCTTGTCGTCTGCTAAATGTGGCCATTAGCATCTTTCCTTTCTTCTTTACTGGAGAAGGCACATGTCTGAACACGGATGGGACGTAGTCGGGTGAAAGAGGATTGTCACTCTTTTTACCTTGGGACACAACACACAATTAATACAAATTCAGTACGGTTACAATGCAAATACAATGGAGAACAAGTATAAGTATAACTTCAAGCATTGAGCTGGATCTACACAACCCTTTGGCTGGCTATGTCAAAGTAAAAGTCTTATCACTTAGCTTAGCTAGCTATGGTTTCATATCAACATCTGCGGTAAGCACGGTCTCTAACATTTCCGTGGAAAGCCCTGAGCGTTATTTA